TCAGCCATCAGTGGGATGAGTCTGGGGGGCTCAGCCATCAGTGGGATGAGTCTGGGGGGCTCAACCATCAGTGTGATGAGTCTGGGGGGGCTCAGCCGGGCTCTGCCGAGCGCTGCTCCCCAGGAAAGACTCTCAGGGGACAAGGGATGGAGCGGTGGGGCTGCCCCGGGGCACGGAGGGGGCTGAGGGGGGCAGAGCCTGGACTGGGGGTGAAGCAGGGGGTCCCCACCTGGCCATCGCTGTGATGACTTTGGGGGTCTCAGCCTGGTCCTGCTGAGTGCCGCCCACCAGGAAAGATCCTCAGGGGACAAGGGACGGAGCAGTGGGGCTGTATCACACACACGGCATCTCCCACCCCCGGTGGGCTCTGGGGTGGGAGCCAGGAGTGGGGCTGGATACCCCGGCCTGGAGAGGCCTCYCGGAGGAATGTCAGCTGATCGATAAAGCCGCAGCCCTTGGCAGGGCAGCAGGACCCAAAGAAAAACYCAGAAAAGCCCCAAGAAAAGCCCTTTCTGCAGAGGGCCGGGAGCCAGGGCTGCTCCAGCCCAGGGCACTGACAGGGCTCGGTCGTCCCTGTCCCGATGGGGTGGCAGCGACCCTGGAGTTGGGATGGGCACCCCACAGTCACTCCATTCATCCCCGGGGATGGGGAAAAGCCCGGGGAGAGTTGGGGCACCCGGGGGCCCCGGCAGCCCTGGGAAAGGTTTCCAGGCAGGCGCTGCTATTTCGGGAGGGTGAAGCAAGAGGGTGAAGGATGCAGAGGAAAGTTCAATGTGCCTCCGGCGGGGCCTGCCCCAATCCAGGCCGGGATGAAAACAATCCGGGGAGAAAGGGCAGAAGGGCCAGGAGGACCGGCTCCCACCGGAACCGGCGGCAGCAGCGGCACAAGGACCGGCACCGGCCGGAGCCCACGGGGACAGGACGGCGTGTCCATGCTCAGAGCTGCGCCACTGCCACCCTCCCGCCCTCCTTTCCAAGGCTCGCTCGGCTTCGGGATGGTGTTTGGGACTGGATCATCCCTGGCACGGGGCAGGGCAGMGCGGGYGAGGGGCTCTGCAGCCYCGTGCCTCAGTTTCCCCGGGGATTCGGAGCGCGGKCTCCAGGGCCGGACAGCCCTCGGCTCGGATAAGCGGTGCCGGCTGTCCTGCCGCCCCCACACCGCAGCCCGGCCTCTCCACCGGCTCCTTCCTTCCGCCGGAGGGTTTCCCGGCTGCTGACTCAGCACGAGACCCCCGTGACCCCCGTGGGGCCACCGGCAGGCGCCCGTCCCGCCGAGGCTGCCCCGTGGCCGCACGGCTTTCTGCCTTTGTGTCTCCCTTCTCGGCGGGTGATTTCGCCCCCCTTCCCATGGAGACCCTCCTGTCCCACCCATTGTGGGCGTTTTCCTCTCCCCCTTCCCACAGGGACCCTGCTCAGGTTTCCAGCCCCCATTGCCCGATGCTGGGGTTTTTGTAGGTCCTACAGAAAGACGTGTGAGGTCAGTGGGGGTGATGGCACCATGCGCTGGCCCCGGTCCCCTCCCGGGACGGTGGATCCCCGGCCCCGACCTTCAGCGCAGGCAGAGCCCGATCCCAGCGCCCGCTGCCCCGGGTGGGCTGGGAACCGCGATCCCAGCKGTGGAACTGGGCAGAACTGTCCTTCCAGCACGGAGGCCACAGTGAGGGGCTGGGATGTCGCTCAGCACCGGGACCTGGACCCCGGCCAGGCTCTATCCGAAAACATCAGCACGCCCGGGCGCATTTTTTCCAGGCTTACCTTCGCTAGGGAGCCGCAGGGACGGGCGGCTGGCACGGCTGGCACGGTGGCACGGCTGGCTGAGCCCCGTCTCCGCGGGGAGACACCAGAGCCGTGCCTGGAGCCGGGGGTCCCGCGGTCCCGCTGCCCTCCCAGCGCCTCCCGCCGCTCCGGCCGGGGCTCGGAGCCGTTTCCAGCGGAGCCCCTCGCTCCGGCGGACGCCGTCAGCACATTTCCACCTCCTTTGCCAAGTAAATACGCACCGGTTGGCACAGGGGGGGCCGGTGGCGACSGCGGGGGCCGGTGGCAATCCCGGAGCTCCCGCCGAGGGTTCCCGAGGCAGCCGAGCCCCCCGCCCCGCGGCCCCTCAGCCCCTGCCCGCCGGCCGGGTTAATAACTAATCCCTTCCCGGTCCTGCTCTCCTCACGTGCCAGAATTAATGGAGCGAGAACCTCCCAGGTACCCCCCGCGCCACCGGGTCGGGCTTTAACCCTGTCCCCCGGTAGGAATCCGGCCTGGGATGAGGTGACATCCCCGGGGCAGCGCTGTCCATGCCCGGCAATGATCCGGGCGCAGGGGCACGGCAGCTCCGTGAGTGGGTCAGCCCCACACGCTGGGGCAAAGGCTGCGCCCCATCGCACCCCGCTGTGGGCACAGCCAGCGCTCGGGGCGTGGGCAGGGGGGCTGGTGGGGTTTGGGGGTGTCTCTGTGCCCTGCCAGGAGCCAGCTGAGGCCCGATCCCCCCCGGGCACCCCCCTGGGTCTGTCCTGCCCCGTCTCGGGAATCCGAGCGGAAAGGCTGGACTGTTTTGGGGGATTACGCTAAGGACCTTACAGGGAATTAGGGTGGCGACAGGGCTGCTTTGGGGGGCTGGGGGTGCCAGCTCCCTGCCCCCGGCAGTGCCAGCTCCACGGTGTCCCATCCCTGCCCTCTGCTGGCAGGCTGGCACGGCACGGCAGCTCGTCCGGTGTCGCACCAGTTTGGCACGGGTGTAACGGGGAGGGCAGCACTGGGTCCACCCGCTATAGGGGGCACCGTGACCGCCACCCCCGCAGCAGGTGGAGGATGCTGCAGCTTTGTGCCGGGGGCATTAATGGTTGTGGCCAGGAGCTGGGATCTTACCGCGCGTCCAGACCCCACTGCTGGGGACACCAGACCCTGGGAGCTCCCTCTGGCACCCCCGGGCAGCAGGGCAGGGGYACGGGGGTGGGCAGGACAGACGGACCCTGTGCCGGAGGTGCTGCTGCAGGATGGCCCCGTCCCCACAGGGAGCCGGACCAGGCAGAGTGTTGGTCTGAGCAGGGCAGTTTATGGGGTGGCACCCAGCGGGCACCGCGCCCTCCTCAGGGCTCGCAGGAGCTCCCTGTACCCACCACCCCTCACCACGGGCAGCCCCTGGGCTCTGCGGGACCCTCGGGACCCCGAGCTGGGGCGTGTCCTGGAGGGGCTCCCTGGATGAATTCCACTGTCGCATGAGGGGCTGAGCCCGGGCAGGGCGGAGCTGCCAACCCTGGAGTGCCGCTGCCAGGCAGGCACCACCATGTCCCCAAAGGAGTGTCTGGGCACAGCCATCTCCTTCTGCCCCCACCACCAGCGTTAACTCCAGCTTTGTCCCCGTGGCAGCGTTCCCCTGGGTCCCGGGGGCATGTGGGGGCTGAGTGGGCACCTCCAGGGCACTGTCCCGTCTCAGAGTGCGGTGCTGCCCAGCAGCTTCAGCGGTTTCAGGGCCGGGGCTGGGAAGTGGCCGCTGCCASGGCGGGGGCCGTGCCGGGGCTGTCCCCGCAGCACCTCGCCCACCGTGTGGCGGAAAGTCTGGCTGACGAAGCAGTAGAGGAAGAAGTTGAAGGAGGTGTTGAGCATGGCCACCATATTGGCGATGTCCAAGGCCAGGTGCACGCGCCAGTCCCTCCTGACCGAGGCCACGTAGAGGTGGCACATCATGACGACGGTGCGGGGAGCCCAGAGCACCACGAAGACGGTGGTGACGGCCAGCAGGAGGGCCGTGGTCTTGCCKCCCCCCGCCCGCCTCCGCCGCTTCAGCTTGCGGATGATGATGGAGTTAGTGGCCAGGAAGATGCTGCAGGGCAGGAARTAGATGGTGACGCAGTGCAGCCACTTGAGCACCGTGTCCAGCGCCGTGGGCGGGTCGGCGTCACGCCACACGTCCAGCCACCAGTAGAACGGGATGCCGGTGGCCAGCGCCGCGGCGAACACGGCCGCGATGATCTTGCGGGTGCGCCGCGGGTAGGACACGGTGCGGTAGCGCAGCGGGTGGCACAGGGCCACGTAGCGATCCACGGTCAGCAGCACGGTGACCCAGGTGGAGGCATGGTTGGCCGTGAACTCCAGCACGTTGACGGTGTGGATGAAAGCGCTGGGCACYGCCCGCGCCAGGATGGCCGTCTGCAGGATGAAGCCCACGAAGATGATGAAGACCTGGGTGAGGATGTCGGAGGTGGTCAGGGCCAGCAGGTACCAGTACGATGACTTCTTGGTCCTGGTGGCCAGGCGGGACAGGGCCACGGCGGTCAGGATGTTCACTGGAGGGAGGGCAGAGATGGGTGGAGGTGACAGCCAGGGGCTCGCAGCYCCCCCCGCGGGACCCTGGGGGTGCCCAAGCTCCAGCTGAGGGAGCTATAAATATCCCCGTGCTGTGGGGATTTGCTGGGCTGATTAATCTCTTCCGTGTGTCAGCCCAAGCAATGCAAATACCATCTGTCCCCGCGGCGGTGGCACCTGCCCTGGGGCTGGGCGGCACAGCCGGGCACAGATCCCAGCCTGGGGGGGAGCAGATTGGGTCCCTCCATCCCGCGAATTTTCCTTCAGCAGCCCCCCAGCTCCCTCACCTGGCAGCCCCAGGCCCAGCAGGACGCTGTAGTACACGATGGGGACGATGCCGACCAGGCAGGGTGACCGCTCCAGCTCCGGCTCTGGCTCCAGCTCCGGCCGTGCCCACGACACTGCTGTGCTGTTGGGCACTGGGACCGTCATATTCCACCAGAGATCGGCTGCGAGGGGACACAGGGAGCGTCGGGAGGGGGAGGGTGCTGATGGCACCTGGCCGGGAGGTGACATGCCACTGGGGTTTGGGGACAGGGACCCCAATTGGGCTGGATGCCAGGTCCCTTGTCCGGGAGCACCCATGGACAGCGGGCAGCTCCAAAGCGTGCCCTTGCAGGCAGACCCGGGGCTGCTGCACCCATGGGAGCCAACGCGCTCCAAGCTCCTTGTGCCACGTCCCAGCAGAGCCCCCGCTGCCAGAGCTGCTCCCTCTTTATCCCTCAGACCCGTTTTTGTAGAAAACCGGATTAAAACACCATGTTCTTGGCAGCTGCCAGCAGAGGGAGGCTCTGGCCCCGAGCCCGGGCTGGGTGCCACCCTCCGGGTGCCAGTGGTGGCAGAGAGGACCCAGAGGTGCCACTGGGGAGTCCCGGTGGTGCCAAAAGTGGGGTGGCCATCTCCAGGCTGACAACTGGGTCCTTTTCCAGCTCATCAGGATGAGGCACGGGGCTGGAGGAGCCTGGCAGCCGCCCTGCCCACGGCCCTGCCCGCATCCCCGCCCGTATCCGCATCCTTATCCGTATCCGCATCCCTATCTGTGTCCCGATCCCTGCCCCATYTCTGYCCTATCCCTGCCCAATTCCTTCCCCATCCCTGCCCCGATCCCTGCCCGTATCCTGCCCCATCCCTGCCCTATCTGTGTCCCGATCCCTGCCCCATTTCTGCCTGTATCCCTGCCCTATCCCTGCCCCATCTGTGTCCCGATCCCTGCCCCATTTCTGCCTGTATCCCTGCCCTATCCCTGCCCCGATCCCTGCCCTATCCCTGCCCCATCTGTGCCCCTATCCCTGCCCAATCCCTGCCCCATCTCTGCCCTATTTCTGCTCCGATCCCTGCCCTATCTGTGCCCCGATCCCTGCCCTATTTCTGCCCGTATCCCTTCCCGATCTCTGCCCCGATCTCTGCCCCTATTCCTGCCCTCTCTGCCCCATCTCTGCCCCTGTCCCTGCCCTATCCCCGCCCCATCCCTCTGCCCTGTCCCCAGCCCGGATCGTGCCCACGCTGCCCTCGCCCATTCACAACCCGGGGTGGCCCCACCCCCTCCCGAGCTCTGCGCTCCTATTGGCTCAGAGGATCCAGGCCACGCCCAATTCGAGCGGGGTTCGGCGGGTTCGGCCGGAGCCGAGAGCTGCGTTCTGATTGGTCAGAATCCCCACCAAATTTGCATGGGCGGGGGACCGGCAGCCCCCGGGGCGCGGTGCCGGTGGGGGTGCGAGGGGATTTGGGGGGGTCCTGGACCCGGGGRCTGCACTTTTCGGGGATTATTTTGGGATGGAGGGGTACGGGGTGCAAAGGGGAGTCCTGAGCTCAGGGAGAGGGTACGAGGAACCAGTCTAACCTGGCCCCGGGGCGCCCCAAATTTCTCTTGTCCCACATACTGCAGACATCCGACGGCTCCGTCCCCGGGGCGGACCGGTCACGKTTTTCTCCCGTTCCGGGACCCCCACTGACGGATCCGCTCCCCCRGCAGTGCCCGCGGTGTGTGTGGGATCCCGGGGCTGGGATCCCACCGATCCCAAAACCTCCCCGAACCTGGAACTTCCGCCTGCACCCGAGCACAGCCCGAGGGAAATGCGGGGGGGAGGATGGGAGAGCAGAGGGGTGCCAATTAACTGCAAATTAGCTCCGGTTCATCAGCAGGAGGTCCCGTCCATCCACGTCCCCCGCGGAACTGGGGCATCGATCGGCTGAAGCCACGGCGAGAGCGCCTTAACCCTTTCCCAGCTCGGATCCTTTCTGCACTGCTGAGGGGGGCGAGTTCTCTCTGGGCACCGCTTTTGCTCCCCCTGCCCGGGGTCCCGCTCCCCAAACCCTGCGGGACAGGGACTCTCACCTGGGTGGCTCCAGTGCCACCCGCCGGGCGTGCGGTGCCACCTTCYCTGATCCTGGTGCTTCCCACGGACACACCGGTGTCGCTGTCCGTGTTGCCGCCGGTTTCCGTGTCCTCTCCGGTGTCTGTGTTTCCACTGGTGTCCCTGTCCCCGCCGGTGTCCGTGTCCCCGCCGGTGTCCCTGTCCTCGCCGGTGCCCGTGTCCCCGCCGGTGTCCCTGTCTCTGCCGGCACCCGCTGCATGGCACAGCCTCCCGGGGCGCGGGGCACGGGGCGGAGGGAGAGCGCCGTGGGCAGAGCCACGGGCAGAGCCGCGGGCTGGGCTGGCKGGGCACAGGGACGTCACCGGGCCCGGTGGCTCCCGCGGGGGCCAGGGAAGGGGTCACCTGGGAAGCTCCGAGTGACCGTGACAGAGCTCGGCCCCACCCCAGAGCGTCAGGGATGGTGGTACGGGGACAGGTGGGTCCKCGGCCACCTCTGGGGACACGGAGGAGCGGCTGTGGACGGGGTGTGACGTGTGACACGAGTGTGAGTCCGTGTGTGCTGCGTGCGTGTCCCTGCTCTGCCCTGTCTGTTCCGGAGCGCCCACTGCCTCAGTTTCCCCAGCAGCACAAGGAGGGCTGGGCACGCTGATGTCCCCTGCCGGTCCCTGCGTCCCCCTCCATCTCGCCAGTGCCTCCCCAGCCGCGGGGCGATGCCCGGGCGCTGCTGCCGGGCACAGGTCGCTATGGTGAGCCAGCCCCGCAATGTCCGGGCCAGSGCAGCCGCTCCCTCACCTCACCGCGGGCTGGGGGATGTCACCCTGTCCCCTGGTGACCTTCAGCGGTCCCCCCCGTCCTCCCATGGCCCGCTCACCCCCGTGAGCAGCCGCTGCCCCCGCAGGGGACGCGGGGGTCCGGAGCTGTGGGTGCCGCCCGGGCTGGCACGGTGCCGCCGGCGCGCCGGGCACTCGCTCCCACAAGCTGTTGTTTATCAGGCGCGTTGTGAAATGAGGCGTCGGAGGACGCGGTGAGCCCTGAACCGGCTGTGCCGTGGGGGGGTCACATCCCCCAAGCTCCCACGGTGCAGGGACACCCGCCCGGGCTGGGTGATCTGCGGGATTTTGGGGTCCCCTGCCCTGGGGGGTAGCACAGAGTTTGGGCATCGCCCACCTGCCCATCCCTGCAAGGGGCCAGGGAGCCCCAGCAGCGTGGCATGGGGGTGGTTGGTGCCTTGTCCTCAGCCCCCCGCCCGCGGGGCAGGGACAGATGGCGATCGCACCCCCTCGGCAGCTGCAGCAACATCTGCCCACGCTCAACATCTGCAAACCGCGTCTAAGCCCATGTTCAATCTCTGCTGTGCAGGGACAGGGCTCCTCAGCCCAAACCTGCCCTCCGAAGGCCCCGCCAGCACCACCGGACCCCCGGCCGTGTGGCAGCACCGTGCCAGGACCGGGCAAGCTGATGCCCAGGGACGGATGGGCTGAGCCCCCCGAGCTGAAGCCCCTGGTCCAGCACGGAGCCCCCTGAGCACCACGGTCCCCATCTCAAGGCCACCTCACGGTGTCCGCGGGGGTCCTGGGGGTGTGAAAAAAGGCACAGTCACGCCCCAGTGTCACCTCTCGGGGGTGACCACAGCCAAAGTGGGGCTSACAGCACTTGGCTGTCACCCTGCTGCTCCTCCCCTGCTCACCCAGCACCACCCCCAGACTCTGCCTGTGGCACCGGAGCTTTGCGGGGACCCCAGGCCCGTGGCGAAGCCCCCCAGGAGGTGTCGCGGGGGACGGGCCGGGGGCCAGCGAGGCCACACGGGGCGCACGGGCGGCCTCTTGGCTGCAAAGGCTGGGAAAAGGGCAGGCAGTTCCTGCCGGCAGCGCGGATGCCATGGTGATGGGCTGCTGCCGGCATGAATACCCATGAGCCGGGGGGAGCGGGAGGCCACCGAGCTGTGCCCTGAATGCAAAGACCCGGCACAAAGGGCCGCGGCCACGCGTGGGGCTCCAGCGCGGCGGTGCCAGCCGCAGGTGCCGCACGGCGATGTCCCCGCAGCGCTGCCCGTCGGGGCGCTCCRCCGCAGCACCCCGGGGTGCGGGGCTGGCTCTGGGGGTCGGGGTGGGATGCAGGGAGGRTGGAAGCGGTTCCCCCGGCAACGGCCGGCCCCAGTTTCCACCAATCGATGCGGCGGCGCGGGCCGGGAGGGCGCGTGGCCTACATAAACCCCGGCGCGCAGCGTGTGCCGCACCCGGCAGATGCGCCTGCGAAGCCATGGCCAGGCTGACGGGCACCCGGCCCGTGGCCACCCGCCGCTGGGGCTGTGCCGCCGCCTTCCTGCTCCTCCTCCTCACCGTGCAAGCCGGTAAGGGCGGCCGGGGCGGGGGGAGGCGCGGAGGGTCCCCGAGCCGCGGGTGCGCTGCCCTCGCCGGGTGCCGGGGTGCGGCTCGGCGGCTGACGGAGAGCTCAGCGCATCTCTCTGGGTGCCGTCGGGGTGCCGGGGTGGGATGGAAGTGGCTCCTGGATGTGCTGCGCTCTCCGAGCTGGGCTGTGCTCGCTGGTGCCCGGGGAAGGGTTCGGTCCAGCAGCGCGGGGTACGGGGCGCCTGCTCCCCTTCCCCAGCCGCGCTCAGCTGGCCTTAAGCCGGCGCTGGGAAGGGTAATCCGTCGGCAAGACGGGATTTGAGAGGCAAGATGGATTTGAGACAGATGGGGCCAAATTCCTGCTGGGGGAAGGATGCTGTGAGAAGCGGGCGGGAGTGGTGCCAGGAGGGAGAAGAGGAGAGGAAGGAAGGATCGCTGAATCCACAGGAGCATGGAGATCCCTGTCCCACATTCCCCAGTCCCTCTCCATTCCCTGTCGGGATCCCAGCACAGACCTGCTGTGACCCCAGAGCAGCCAGTGTCTCCAGTGTCTCTCCCTGGGCTCTCCGTCCCCTCGTGTGTCCATCCGGGATGCGGGAGATCGGGGCAATGCCCRGGGCTCGCTCTGCCCACTGCGGGGACGGGATCAGGACAGGCAGACCGGGCTGGGAGCCAGTGCCGCCGGCACCCGGCCATTTCCCAGCACACCCCAACCAGGGACATGGTGGTCCCAGCCCTTCTGCTGCAGAAAAGCAGTTTTTTGGCTCTCAGAGACACCAATGTCCCCATGTCCTTTGTCCCCACCTCACCCCATTGGCATCAGCATCCCTTTGGCACTGGGGGAGCGGAGGGAGGAGGTGCACAGCCCCCCAGTAACCCCAAACCACCTCAGTGCCTGGGACCGGGGTGCAGCACTGGAATGATCCCATGTCCCTGCAGCCCAAAAAGCCGACTTTAGCGGGGACTCCACGGCGGCCACCATCAACCACTCGCTGACGCTGCTGCAGCGGCTGCAGGAGCTGCTGCAGAACGGCAACGGCAGCGATTCGGTGCTGCGGGTCCGCTCGGCCGCCTCCGAYGAGGCCAAGGTGTTCCACACCCACCAGCTGCTGCTGAGCCTCCAGAGCGAGGTCTTCGAGAGCCTCCTGCGCAACCAGAGCGTCGTGACCCTGCATGAGCCGCCCGAGACCGCCGCGCTCTTCGAGAAGTTCATCAGGTGCGTGGGGACCCTGTGGGATGGGGATGTCAGGAGGATGGAGCTCTCCTGGGGATTGTGGGGCCGTGTGGGATGGGGATGTCAGGAGGATAGAGCTCTCCTGGGGACTGTGGGACCCTGTGGGATGGGGATGTCAGGAGGATGGAGCTCTCCTGGGGACTGTGGGACCCTGTGGGATGGGGATGTCAGGAGGATGGAGCTCTCCTGGGGATTGTGAGGCCCTGTGGGATGGGGATGTCAGGAGGATGGAGCTCTCCTGGGAACCATGGGAACCCCAAAGGATGGGGATGCCCAGAGGGATGCAGCCAAGGAAAAGGGATGTTCCTTTGGGAACCACAGGGAATGTGTGGGATGTGCATTTTGGGAGGGATGYAGCCCAGGAGGGAGGACCTCACATGATGGGAACACCCAGAGAGAAGCGTCCAAGGAGGGGAGATACTTCCCTGGGGACCCCACAGGATGCAGCCTTGGGAACCCTGGGGACCCCATGGGATGGGAATACTCAGAGGGGCGCAGCCCAGAGCAGAGGCTGCTCCCCTGGGAACTGAGCTGCCAGGAAGGTCCCCAGTGTCACCASCCCACGCTGTGCCCCAGGTACCTGTACTGCGGGGGGGTCTCCATCCTGCTGCACCAGGCCATCCCCATGCACCAGCTGGCCAGCAAATACCGGGTCTGGGGGCTGCAGCGCGGCGTGGCCGAGTACATGAGGACCCACCTGGCCAGCGAGTCGAGCCAGGGCCATGTGGTGGGCTGGTACCACTACGCCGTGCGCGTCGGGGACGCGGCGCTGCAGGAGAGCTGCCTCCAGTTCCTGGCCTGGAACCTGTCGGCGGTGCTGGGCAGCGCCGAGTGGGGCTCGGTGAGCGTGGAGCTGCTGCTGCTGCTGCTGGAGCGCTCCGACCTGGTGCTGCACAGCGAGCTGGAGCTCTACACSGCCGTGGAGGGCTGGCTGAGCCGCCGGCAGCCCGAGGCGCCCGTGGCCGAGCGGGTGCTGCGCGCCATCCGCTACCCCATGATCGCGCCCAGCCAGCTGTTCCGGCTGCAGGCGCAGTCGGCGGTGCTGGCGCGGCACCGCGGCGCGGTGCAGGACCTGCTCTTCCAGGCTTTCCAGTTCCACGCCGCCTCCCCGCTCCACTTCGCCAAGTACTTCGACGTCAACTGCAGCATGTTCCTGCCCCGCAACTACCTCGCKCCCAGCTGGGGCTCCCAGTGGGTCATCACCAACCCGGCGCGGGATGATCGCAGCACCAGCTTCCAGACCCAGCTGGGGCCCAGCAGCCACGACGCCGGCAARAGGGTGACCTGGAACGTGCTGTTCTCGCCGCGCTGGCTGCCCGTCAGCCTGCGCCCCGTCTACTCGGACTCGGTGGCGGGCGCCATCCAGCCCGTGCGCATCGAGGACGGGCGCCCGCGCCTCGTCATCACCCCGGCCATGAGCAGCCCCGACTTCGCCGGTGTCAGCTTCCAGAAGACGGTGCTGGTGGGCGTGCGGCAGCAGGGCCGAGTGCTGGTCAAACACGCYTACAGCTTCCACCAGAGCTCGGACGAGGCGGCCGATTTCCTGGCGCACGCCGACCTGCAGAAGCGCACCTCCGAGTACCTCATCGACAACTCCCTGCACCTCCACATCATCATCAAGCCCGTCTACCACTCCCTCATCAAGGTGAAGAAGTAACGAGGCACGGCCAGGTCCTGCCGTGCCAGCCYCAGCGCCGTGGGGGGAACGCTTGGTCCTGTAGGTAGATGGGGGTCCCCACCCCGGGGGGCTCCRGGACTGTGCTCTGCACTGCTCACCCCTCCCCAAGTGTTCCCCTGCCACATCCCGTCCCCATCGCTGTCCCTGGGGATGGAGGATGCTGAGAGCACCCCAGATCCTTGTGGAGAGTGCAGGAGGTGAAATGTGCAGCCCACGGGCACATCACAGACCCCAGTGGGTGTGAGAATGGGGACAGGGACAGCCTGTCCTTCCTGTGAGGCAGCACTGGGGTCCTTCTGCGTGGGCAGCTGGGTCCAGCTCAGGGGCAAACGGAGCTGCCCATGTTGGGGGTGAGGGGCCCRTCTGTCACCCTCAGTGAAGGAGGGTGAGGGGCACTGTCCCCACTGGTGGTGGCAGCTGCCCCATCCCTGTCCAGGCACCCCCACCCCCTTCCTAATAAAGCAAAAAATGAGTGTTGGACGTGTGGGGCATCTTTGGGGTGACGCCACTCCCCAGCTCAGCTCCTTTTAATGGAACCCCCGGGAAGGAAAACACCCATCCAGACACGGATGCATTTCCCTGTGGGGATGTGGGTCCCTGCTTGGGATGGGTTTGGCGCAGAGAGAGCTGTGCAGGCACTCAGGAGAGGCGCAGATGGGACTCCAGCACATGGGGAAGGGGCACAGCAGCACCCCCAGGGCTGGGTTGGGGTGCAGGGAGGGGCAAAGRCCCCTGAACCCTGTCCTGGCATCGCTCACCCACGGGTGGGTTCAGCCCTGAGCAAAGCCTGGGGAAGGGTCCTGCTGGGGGCTCCCCCTCAGCCCCCAGAGCCACCTGTGTGATGTCCCYATCGCTGTGACAGGCTGCTGGCAGCTCGTTAATGATTAATTAGGGGAGCTGGGGTGGCTGCTGGGTGCTACCAGCAGGGCAGTGTTTACCCAGCACTGATAACCAAGCTTGGGAGCTGCTCCCATGGGGACACCGGGCTCTCCAGCTGGGAGGGGACSTGGAGGGGACTGGGACACCCCCTTCTGCCACCAGCCACGCTGCTRTGCCCTGCTCCACGGGCTGAGGACACTGAGGGACACCCTGTGCTGCTCTGGGTGCCTGGCTGTGCTCAGCCACCGGCTTTGAGTGTCCTGGCTCAAGGAAGGGACAGGAGGAGCAGGAGGACGTGACTTTCCCACCCTCTGCTTGAACCCTGCTCTGACAAAAGAGGAAACGTGACGTGGAAAGCATTGGTTTATTCACACCAAAGAAAATCAGGATGCAAAGGCCAGGGAGCAGCTGTGGGGTCAGGGGGTTGTGCATGGCCTCCCACTTGCCACCCCACTTGGGCAGAGAGCCCAGGAGAGCTGCCTGGTTTGGGGACAGTGGCCTCATTCTGCAGCAGCTCTGGCAYGGAGGGWAAAGGAAGGTGCAGCTGGAGCACACTGAYCTTGGCATCCTCCTCCTCTTCCTYCTGCTTTTCCTACTCTGCTGCTGCCTCGCCCTCTTCATCCTGAAAGACAGAGGTTGGTCCTGTCCCCTGCCCCTGCTGGGGTCCCTGTGCTGGTGGCCAGACTGGCMTGTCCCCAGTACCTCTYCAGGCACATCCTGGCCCCTCCTTCGCCGCTCTGCCTTGATGAYGGAGAARAAATCTGTTTGGGCCTGCTTGAACACCTCCTGGGTATCCTCCCGCTCCTCCACCTTGGCCTTGGCCCGCTCCTGCTCCCGCAGCAGCAGCTCCCGACGTTTGTCCTGCAGGACCTTCTCACGCCTCGCCTCCCGCTCGAACATCTGCGTGGGACACGGGKGRCACRGGGGACACTGTGCTGTGTCTGGGGACACCGTGGGGCTGAGGGCAGCGTGTGGGGCTCGGGTGGCACCTGGCACATACTGCGAGGGTCAGGTTCTTCTCATTCTTCCGGAGGGTGCAGAGTCCTGGGGAGATCTCCAGGAGGGAGACAGTGCCCAGCTTGGTGCCRCAGCCAAGGATGCGCCCGTTGTCCTGCGAGCACAGGCTGAGCAGGGGATCGTTGGACACCTGGGGACAGGGCACAGGTGGGTGCTGACAATCGGCTCTGGCATGATGCCAGGGTCCCAGAGGTGCTGGGGACCCACCTTGAGGCTGAGGGAAGGCTCCTTCTGGTGGAAGAGGTAGTCCCAGACGTCCAGGGTCCCATCTGACTTGGCAATGAAGAACACGGCCGGTTTTGCGGGGCTCCAGCACCCAGCCAGCAGGTAGGGAGTGTGGCACCTGCCAGCAGAGCCACCCCTCAGCCACGCTGGCACTGCTTTGCCTTGGTCACTGGCCCGTCCCAGCACTCAGAGCTGACCAGACCCTACTGCCACCTGCCCTGGGGATGATTTCTGGCCGAGTAAACACCCCTCAACACCTACTTGGTCTCCATAATTGATGATGCATCCAGCAGATCCTCCGTCCAGAGCTGAGCAGTCCAGTCACCGACTGTCAGGAAGATTTTGGGGTAGAAGGGGTTCCTGGTCACGGTGTAGACGGCCCCRATGTGGCTGCTGTAGACGTGGACGATTTTGTCGGGTGGTGACTTGGCGTCGCGGTTGCAGGAGATGATGTTGCCCTGCTCTGTGCCCACCAGGAACTTGGCAGGCTGGGGGTGGGAGCAGGAGGGTGCAGCTGTCAGCAGGATGGAGACCCCATAGTGTGGGGACAGAGAGGGGTTCTGCTGCAGTCAGAGCCCTGGCACCGGGCAGGTTTAGGGACCAAAATGCCAGCAGGACCCTGTGTTCCTGAAGCATCTTGGGGCTGTGTCCATGGGAGTGACCAGGCACTGCCCTGTGGGTGGTGGGCAGAGTGACACTCACCATGGCGGGTGTAAAGTCCAGGGAGATGGCACCCTGAGCATTGCTCAGCTTGTCTTCCTTGGTGATGTCCAAGATCAGCCTCTCGGTGGGCTCTGACAGCTTGCGGATGTCCCACCACAGGACCTGCAGGGGACAAGGGGTGGCAGGGGCTGTGGGGGCTGCTGAAGGYGCTGGCAGTCCTGGAGCCCTGCTGGCCCAGGATCTTGTGCTGCTGAGGGGCAGAGCGAGCACAGGAAGCTCTTTGAGGTCCCCTCAGGAGCCCCTGCCCTGCCCCAGCCCCTCACCTGCCCGTCAGTGGAGGCTGAGAGGCAGTCGGTGCCCGTTCGGGAGGGCAGCCAGCACATGCCGTACACGGGGTCCCGGTGGCTGAACTCCACAGGGCTGATCTCCATGGGCAGCCCYCCTTTCCTGGTGTCCCAGTACACTGGGAAGGAAAAGAAAAGCTCTTGCAGAGCTCCTTTCCTTGTCACGTTTCCCCCACTGTCCAGGTTGGAACAGGGAGCAAACCTCATCTGGTGTTTTCCAGAGATTATCCAGGGTGGTGGGAGAGGTGGGACCACAGCACCCACCCTGCTCAGGCCCCAAATCCATCCATCCATCATCCATAATCCATTGATCCATTGATCCATCCATCCATCCATCCCTGATCCATCCATCCATCCATCCAAGAGCTGTGAGGGGCTCCCTGGCAGTGTCCTCCCCTCCCTGGGCACCCTTTCAGGTGAGCACACCCCTGTCCCCAGGCAAATCCCAGGGCTCCTGCTGTGCTCCCAGYGACATCCCAGGAGTGCAGCAGTGCTGGAGCCAGGGTGAGCAGAATTAAACCCCACCTCACCTATCTGTCCATTGTAGCAGCCTCCCAGCAGGTGATACCAGTCCTTGGAATTGTATTCCAGGGTCACCACAGGGGACGAGGGCTTGAGGGTGAGCTCTGGGCCRTAGGGGCTTTCTGCCAAGGAGGAATGGGAGAAGAGCAGAGGGTGAAGGCAGCCCCCCAGAAGCAGCCCCCTGCCCACCCTGCTGCCCCCCACCCTATTCCCTGCCACAGCCTGGGGACAGACCCCCAGCACACAAATCTGCATTCCCCGCTCTTCTTTGTCCTTTTCTCTCCAAAGTACATCAGGTGTGAGGGTGGCTTGGACAGATCGAGGCAGGTCTGGGCTCCTGCTGCCTCTTTCTTCCTTTACCRACCCAACTGAACCACATCAAGACARGGACCTCATCCAARGCTCCAGGCTYTGCTGCCTGCCATGGCTCTGGAGCCATGGAGTGGGATTGCAGTGGTTATTTCCCACCTYCCAGCTCCCATTTCTCCCTGTTCCTGCACTGCCTCCCCCTCTGAACCTCCCCGGGGTGCTGCCAGGCCTCATCCTGCTCTCTGAGACACAAAGTGCTTCCGTTATCGACTGTGGGTTTGCCCTTCCCCTTACCCAGATCCCAGATGTAGGAATCAGAGCTCATGTCTTTCCTGCTGTCCTGGAAGTCCAGGCTGCAATAAGCCACGGCCACTGCCCTGTTGGCGTCGGGGTGCCAGGAGATGTGCGTGGCCATCCTCTTGGTCACGTTGGGGTCCCTTTGGGGTGACACATCAGCCAGCAGAGGTCAGTTTGCAAATCCCTGGGATGAATGTCTCCCAAAGGGAGCTGTGGGAATCACAGTGAAACCAATCTGCGGGCCTTGAGCCTTGAGTGCAGGAAACGATTCTCCCGGGGGTCGAGTGGGATGATTTCATCGTCTTTCCAGTCATACCTTTCTARAAATCCAATTATCTTACTGGAGCTGACTCCTAAATACCCCCGATGTGGAAATTAACCTTTGAGGCACCAAAAATAAGAAGGAAAATCCTAAAGCACTGTCGGGAGATGCTCAGAGTTGAATTGGGCTGGGAGAGGGTTCAGCAGATCTCACCACCCACAAACTGCTCCAGGATCATCCCAGACCMAGTGGAATTTAGCTCCTAAAGCTTTTTCCACCTCCTCTGAAGGTGGTTTTGACCCCACTGTGTCTCTGCTGAGCCCCCCCAGCTGTGCTACCTGAGGACAATGATGGTTTTGGCAGAAGGATGCTCTTCTTCCTCATCCTCCTCCTCTTCCTCCCCGAAATACTCCTCGTAGATGTCGATGGCGTTGTTCTGCCTGATGTAGTGCTCCATCAGCTGCAGGGACAGCATGGCTGTGTCTCTGGGGGGCTCWGAGRGGCTCAGGAGGTTTGGGGGGGWTCAGGGCAGGGCCTTACAGTGCTGAGGCGCAGGACACTCCTGGTGTAGACCTCCTCCCTCTCCACCTCCTCCCGGTAGCGGGTGGTCAGCTCTGAGTTCTTGTAGTCGACGTGCTTGGGCCATCCTCCCTCCACATGGTTCACACCCTGGATGGACACCTGTGCCCGCTCCGTGTTCATCTGGGCAGGGGGCACACACAGGGAGGGATCAGAGCCCCAAAAGGTGCCCAGCACACCTTGTCCCCTCCACGTGCTGACATCCCATGATGTCCCCTCCACCTGCTCTGTGTTCACCCGGGACAGGAGTGTCCCCTACCTCRCTCAGGGCCATGACAGGACCCTGCTGCACAGCAAAGTCCACGGGGTCCTGGGGGATGAAGTCCTCGGCCAGGCTGGGGTCCGGCGGGATGTCCACGGTCACCTCGGCCGGCTGCACCGAGAAGTTGCATGGCCGCCCRAATTCACTGCGCTTCCGCACGAACTCTAACTTGATCTCCATGGTGGGAGGGAATGGGAAGGACTGGGGGCCTGGAGATGGGGGGTCCTCAAGGGGAGCCTCAAAAARGARTGGGGGGCTCAGGGGKGGAGAGCTCCAGTAGGGGTGGAAGRCYTTGGAGAATCCTAAAAGAGGCCTCAGGGAGGAAGAGAGAGTTCCAAAAAAGAGTGGGAGCCTCTGATAAGACCCTGAAAGGGAGCAGGGTTCTCAGGAATGGAGGGTGGTCCTGGRAAGGAGCGGGGATCTCAGGGAGCTCCAAGAAAGAACAAGGATTTCAGGGATTAAAGGGCTTAAAAGGGAATCGCAGCCTCAGGGAGATCCAAAGGTAGAGSGGGGAGGGAGGACCCCAAAAGGGAGTGGGGGTCTCAGATGGAAGACTGCAAAAGGGATTGGGGGCCTTAGGGATACCCAGAAGGCAGTGAGAGTCTCGGGAATGCTCCAGAAGGGAATGKGAACCTCAGTAAAGCTCAAATATGAGCAAGGACCCTGGGGAGAGAGGACCTTGAGAGGACCTGGGGGCTTCTGGGGGGCTCCAAAAGGCAGTGGGAGCCTCAGGAAGCCCCAAAACTGAGCTGAGACGCAGGGACGGAGTGATGAAGAGCACAARGGACCCCCGGAGGCCCCGGGAGCCCGGCGGGGCCCGGTCCCGTCCCGCTCCCGGTGAGGCCTGAGCAGAGACGCGTCGCGGTTGCCAGGCAACGGCTCGACCACGTGACACCGGCGCTACCGTCACGTGATCCCTCCCTCCCCACAATGGCGGCGCGCAGTGTCACATGACGGCCGCCATGTTGGGAAGGTCAACGCAAAGGTGTCCCAGACTCATCTTATCCCCCCCCCCAAAAAAAACCCAAAAAACGCACAGGGGAGATAAATTTAGTCCAAGTGTTTATTATCTTTTCTCCCCAAAAGGGCACATACAAATCCAGCCGGACTCCAGCTGTCAGCCGGAGTCCTTCGGTTAGTTCACATGCGGTTACAACAGCTCTTCTACCAGTACCGTTACATGGAAACGTTAAAAGTCAGAAAAATAAAAAAAAAAAATCCCTGGGGCTAGTTACGGGGAATATGGAACAGGGGAGTCAGGGGGATGTCCTGGCCCTGGGGTGGGGAGCACCCGCTGCTCTGTCACACCCTTTGGGGGTCTGGGTGGGATGAGACAGGGGGTCCATCCCTGCTCTAGGGAGAAGGGGCTTTCCTGGGGATCCCTGTGCTGAAGGACAGCCCCAAAGAGCCAAGTTCAGCTCATATTGGTCTCCCAGCTCCTCAGCCAGCCCTGGCAATGCTGGACGAGGCCCCCGGGGTGGCCGCTCTACATTGTCCCTTCCCTACATCTACCCCAGGGACACCCAAACAGTTCCCATTTGTGACCACTCCAAGGCTGCAGGAGTCTGCCCCAGCCCACACCTGCCCTGGCGAGCCAAAAAGAGCTTAAACCCACCCAAAAACCCGCTACCAACCCCACTGCAGTGACCCTCCTCTGGGACAGAGCAGGTTCCTCCAATGGGGCCCAAATCCCAGCRGAGGAGAACCAGCAGGACCAAAACATCCATCACTCCCCAGCCTGGGATTGCTGTGGGGCCAGGGGATGGCAAGGGGGGCACGGGGAGCCAGAACAGCCAGGAGAGGCATTGGGAATGGTTTGGGATCACGAGTGGTTGGTGCTGCATTGCTACGGGACCRGGGACAGCGTGTCCCGGGATTTGTGCTCCACGACATCCCCGAGATGGGGACGGACAGACAGACAGACAGACAGCGGAGCAGCCCCTCTGTGCTCCCGTAAGGCAGTGGGGTTTGGGTCCAGGGGGCTGCTGAGGGGATGGGGATGCCGGGGGGCTCATCCTGCAGCCCCTGCTGTGTCTCCTACCGCGCTGTCTCCGGGGCTCTTTGGTTTCCCCAGYGCCATCCCTGCTAGGCTGGGAAATCGCCGCGGTGCCGGACGTGCTCATCGGTGACCGCCAGGTACGTGGCTCTCATGCTGGGAGAGTACTGGGGGACACACGGGGCTCAGCACCACCCCAAAACAGCCCACACCACCCCAAAGGTCCCCGTGGGGATTAATCCCTAATTAACCTGCCAGGCGGGCATGGAGAGAGTCACACCCTGCTCTCAGCCCCTCTCAAACCCCACCAAGCTAAACCCTTTCCAGCTCTGCTTTGTCCCTTCCCAGGTTCATCCTCCACCTTCCCAAAATCCATCCCAAATCTGTCCCTGGGATAGCAGCGAGCTCCAGCCTCCACCCCCCCAGGATCACATTCCTCCAGGATTTCACAGCAGGGAGGATCACTCCGGCCGGGCATTAAGGAAGATTATTCTGAGTTTGTTATTTTGGACTCGGGGATCTGAATCCTGGGTAAATTAGACTATTCAGAGCTGGGAGAAGCACTCCAATTAATCTCCCCACTCGGGAAGAGGCTCTCGCCAGCTGCCAGGTCTGTGAGATGGAATCCAAGCTTCCACCTGATGGAAAAAAATCACCCCTGGAGGAGTGGGGGGCACGGTATCCCCTGCCATGGCAGCATTCCTGGAGCTGTGTTCTGGCTGGGAGGGGTTTCACTGCCCCATGGGGACCAGCACCCCAAAATGTGGGAGCTGAAAATTCTCACGGCTGGGGACAAAATGTGGCCCTTTGTCCCCCCTCCCTGAGCTCTTTGCATCCCAAAAGCCAAGCAGGAGAAGAGAGGGAGGCATAGAAGGGGAGAGGAGGAGGGGAGAACCCGGCTGCTGCCCTGGGAAAAGCAGGGAGAAGGAAGTGGCTGAACTTACTCTTGATGGGCAACTTAGCTCCAAAATAATGGATGCAAAAAATTAAAAAGAAATCA